TTTATTTATTTATTTATTTATTTATTTATTTATTTGAGACGGAGTCTGCTCTGTAGCCCAGGCTGGAGTTCAGTGGTGTGATCTCTGCTCACTGCAGCCTCCGCCTCCCGGGTCCTGGTTCAAGCAATTATCCTGCCTCAGCCTCCCGAGTAGCTGGGATTACGGACACGAGCCACGCCCAGCTAATTTTTGTATTTTTAGTAGAGACGGGGTTTCACCACGTTGGCCAGGCTGCTCTTGAACTCCTGACCTCGTGATCCGCCCCCCTCAGCTTCCCAAAGTGCTGGAATTACAGGCGTGAGCCACCGCGCCCGGCCTGAATCAGATTTCTTAATGGGAAAAATTTTTTTTCTGATACATTTTTGGGAAAATTTTTTTTTCTGACACCTTTTTGTGAAAAATGGGATGGACCGGACATGAGCTGGAAACTTTCCCCATTGTTAGAATAAGTTCACAGTGTAGTTGTTACTTATTCACTTTATATTACTTTAACATGCATCTATTTGAGAGTAGCTGTCATAATCTTTGTTTTATGGTTATCATGATTAATTCAAAACCCATATAGTAAAGATAAATTCAGCTTTAGGTTCTAATTTAATGCAGTTCCTTTAGAACTGAAGGCTAATGCGTGTCCTTCAAAGGTTTCTTGCTCCTAATGTTAATAGTGACATTGGTACTTTCAGTCTTTTTATTGTATGACTAGTAAATTCTGTGCGCTTGTGTAGTTACTCATTATACGAGAAGTTGTTTTGTTGGGATTCCCAATCTTATGACTTTTGTTGACACGTGCATGAACAGACTTGATAGATAGGCAGTTTCAGTATTCTTTTTAAAGTTTGGAATTCGTGTACGCTAGAGACCCAAACCTTACTTTGGTAAATCATCTTAGATCTTCCTTATTTTCCTGCACGTAACTGAGGATGTGGCAATAACATGTATTCATGTTTACTGAATTGACAGTTCTTGAGAAAAACCTGTAAAAGGTGAAAAATGTTGTGTGTGTGCGCTTTTTTTTTTTTTTTTTAAAGACACTCTTACTCTGTCACCCAGGCTGGAGTGCAGTGGCATGATCACAGCTCACTGCAGCCTCAACCTCCCAAGCTCAAGCAATCCTCCCACCTCAGCCTCCCAAGTAGCTGGGACCACAGGCTCATGCCATCACACTCAACTCATTTTTTAATTTTTTTTTTTTTTTTACAGAGTTTCACTCTTGTTGCCCAGTCTGGAGTGCAATGGCACGATCACGGCTCACTGCAATCTCTGCCT